CCCCCCGCCGCACACGCACACACACACACACACAACCCCACACCGCCCCTCCTCGGCTCAGGCCGGAAACGGGGGCGGGGGAGGCGGTACCCCAGCAACGGAAGCGCCCGCCTTACTTCCGGGTACGGCCTCACGGCAACGGAAGAAGCGAACAGCGACAGCTCCCCCCCCGCACCCGGAAACGGCTTGAGAAGGGGGAGGAGGAAAAGGAGGGCGGGGCTGGACCGGGAGCCAATTAAAAAGCGAAGCGAGAGGCGGGTTCGGGGGGGGGGGCGGGGCGGGCTAGAAAAGGGCGCGCGCGGGGGGGTGGGCCCGGCAGTCGCTGAGGAGGGCTGAGGGAGCGCGCGCAGGTGAGGGCTGAGGTGGCGGCTGCCAGCCTCTCCCCCCCCCCCCCCCCCCCGGTTTTTCTCCTCCATCCTTTCGGGTCTTCTGGGGGTTTTCACTGTCTATTCGGACCCCGGGAGGGAAAGGGGAAGGGGTTTTTTTTTGTGTTAGGGCTTTTGTTTCCCTCAGGTCTGTGGTAAAGGTGTATTTTTTTGGGTGGGGGTAGGGGAGTGAGTGTCTGTGTTGGGGGTCCCTGCTGCTTAGTACCTATCGGTCTACCTCAGGTCCCTGGGGAGGGAGTGGGAAGGGTCTGTGCTTGTCTTTCTGTCTTCTCTATATATGTGTGTGCTTTGGGGGAAATAAATAAATATTATGCCTGCCTGGCACCTCTTCTCCACTTAGGCCCTGAGGACTCTGTGGGGGCAAACTTTCAGGATTTCTCCATATCCCCTCTTGCCTTAGATCCCTCAGTACTGCTGTTGGGGCTCCCTAGTGCATTAAATCCTCTGGGGCGCATAGCACATGGGGGCAAGTGTCAGGGCTCCTTGCTGTTCCTGCTGTGTTCCCTCTGAGGAGGGACTCTGACACCTCCGTGTTCCTACTCACCTCAGGCCTGGTCAGCATGGCGGATGAGGAGATCGCTGCCCTTGTGGTGGACAATGGCTCTGGCATGTGCAAGGCAGGCTTTGCAGGGGACGATGCCCCCCGTGCTGTGTTTCCCTCCATTGTGGGACGTCCCCGGCATCAGGGTGTCATGGTGGGCATGGGGCAGAAGGACAGCTATGTGGGGGATGAGGCCCAGAGCAAGAGGGGCATCCTCACCCTGAAGTACCCCATTGAGCATGGCATCGTCACCAACTGGGATGACATGGAGAAGATCTGGCACCACACCTTCTACAATGAGCTGCGTGTTGCCCCAGAGGAGCACCCCGTCCTGCTCACTGAGGCCCCCCTAAACCCAAAGGCCAACCGAGAGAAGATGACCCAGATCATGTTCGAGACCTTCAACACCCCAGCTATGTATGTAGCCATCCAGGCTGTGCTGTCCCTCTATGCCTCTGGCCGCACCACTGGCATTGTCATGGACTCTGGGGATGGCGTCACCCACACCGTGCCCATCTATGAAGGCTACGCACTGCCCCACGCTATCCTGCGTCTTGACTTGGCTGGCCGCGACCTGACTGACTACCTCATGAAGATCCTCACTGAGCGGGGCTACAGCTTCACCACCACGGCTGAGAGAGAGATTGTGCGGGACATCAAGGAGAAGCTCTGCTACGTTGCGCTGGACTTTGAGCAGGAGATGGCCACGGCGGCCTCGTCCTCCTCCCTGGAGAAGAGCTACGAGCTGCCCGACGGGCAGGTGATCACCATCGGGAACGAGCGTTTCCGATGCCCTGAGGCCATATTCCAGCCCTCCTTCCTGGGCATGGAGTCCTGCGGCATCCACGAGACCACCTTCAACTCCATCATGAAGTGCGACGTGGACATCCGGAAGGACCTGTATGCCAACACCGTGCTGTCAGGGGGTACCACCATGTACCCCGGCATCGCTGACAGGATGCAGAAGGAAATCACGGCCCTGGCACCCAGCACCATGAAGATCAAGATTATTGCCCCGCCGGAGCGTAAATACTCTGTCTGGATCGGCGGCTCCATCCTGGCATCTCTCTCCACCTTCCAGCAGATGTGGATCAGCAAGCAGGAATATGATGAGTCCGGCCCCTCCATTGTCCATCGCAAGTGCTTCTAGAGGGACTGCTGGCAGTCACCTGAGGGCCGTCCTCGCTGGGACGTGTGCTGGGGCAACCTCCTCCTTCCACGTTGGACCAGAATTGTTCGACTGTTACTTATTTTATCCCTTAACTAGTTATGTCAAGGTACCGAGTAGTGACACGTGCATATTAATGGCCTGTTAGGCTGTAGTTCTCTCATGGCTGGCTAGCTGCTCTTCTTCCTCATGGCTCTCTGGGGTTTGGAAGTAGATGGAGGGCTGTTCACTTTTCCTGTGTAACACGGGTAGGATGACACTAAAGTTAGACTTGTAACCTTGCAGTTTGTCACGGCTGGCTCCTTTGTAGGAAAACAAATAAACTTCTTAGGCTTAAAAACTGTAAGGGGTTATTTTGCTTCCTTTCAGGGTGGGCTCTGGATCTCCCGGCTACAAAGAATTAGTGGGCAATATGTAGGTTTTTGGACCCAAACCTGCCTTCTAGCTGCCTGCTTAAAGCTTAGGAAACAAAATCTGGGGTAAACGCTGTACAAACAGCGTCGGGGCACCATTTAAAGCTGCCGTGCGTGGTGCAGACCCATTTTAAGAGCTGTCGGGGAGGAAGGCTTGACCGGTATGTGGCCCTCGCCGCCGCCTTGTACTTTCATGGTAACTGGGCTTTTTTTAGAACGCGAACGGCTCTTCTTGTCGGAAAAAAAGTTGGTGCCTTGGCACAGATTCTCTACCGCGGAGTCGCCCAGCGGTAACGCACCGCCTCCCTCTGGCGGGACTCCGTTTCCCAGGGTGCAGCGCGCAGCCGCGCAGCACTTCCGCTTCCGGCGCGCCCCGGGGATGTGGGTAGAGCGGAGCTGAGGGGCGGTCGGGGGTTTGGGGGG